AGATATAATTGTGGAAGACGACATAGGTTGAAATTCTTTCATGGATCACGCTTTTGGTGTTGTATCTAAAAATTCTTCACCAAAGTCAAGGTCACATAGATTTTCTCCTATGTTTTCTTCTATAATTTTTATAGTTTTGCACTTTACATTTAGGTCTATGATCAATTTTGAGATAACCTTTGTGAAAGGTGTAAGGTCTATGTCTAAGTTCTTTTTTTTTTTTTCCATGTGGATGTCCAATTGTTGAAAAGCCTATCCTTTCTCCATTGAGAATGAGCTTTGCAATTCTCAACTCTTGTTATAAAAGTACATTACCTCTGTTCTCTTTTTAAAAAGGCAGCCAGATTAGCCCGGTATTTAATAATTATTTGCTTAAGGTTTGAACCCCACCTTCTTAGGAAATAACATGAGGCAAGTTGTAGATTAGAGTATAAGATAAACCACCGAAGAGTAAGCTGGAATGGAATCCATCCGTATTGAGTTTTGTGGCCCTAGATCGAGTCCGAGAAACCAGGTTCTAGTCTTGTCTCCACCAGTCCACCTTTCGAGCTTCTGTCTCCTTCACTAGAATACAGGAGAAATGTGCTAAGACATATTCCGGGTTTCTAATCATACAATTCTACCCCTAGGACCTAGATCACAGCAGGGGTAATGAAAACTTGTGTCTGTGAAAGTCTTTTCCATTCATACAGCAAATATGTCCTTTCAGGACTGACTCACGAGGATTCTCTGCACTTATCTTGGCTAATCTGTCCCACATCACTTCACCAATCCATGAGAATAGAGACCTAAAACACACACGCAGAGCAGAGACTGCACAGTTTTTCCCAAGTCCCCCTGCCTGCTGCCTGCATCCAGATGCGTCACCTCCTACGTCAGTTGTGGTCATCCCTCCTTGCCCCACATCTTCATCCCAGGCACTGATGTCGTGTTTATGTTTACTTATGTGAACTTTGGTCGGTAATGATTCTTTCCTTCCTGGGGCTGCAGGATCTGCCTCTTCTTTTCTTCTCAATCTCTCCTTCCAACTCTCTTTGCCCGGGGCTGACCGTACTCCCTCATTTTCAAGAACACACGGCTTATCTATTTTTCCATGTTTAAGGCAGCCAAAGGCTTTTAAAGATAATGAAAATCTCTCGACTGCAATTTTGAGCTGCAAAGAATTTGCTAGATTTGCTGGCACAGAGAGTTACAGGAATGTTCTTCTAGTATTTGTGGTCTGGAATCCTTGGAGGATCAGGGATCTACCAGGAACACAGACATGTGAAAATAATTATAATAGAGCATGGTGGGGAGGGGAGTGGCTGTTTTTGGGGTGAGGAGGAGAGGCATCAAATACATTTTGCTGAAGAGGTGGTAGTTAAGTCTTGAAGGATGGTTATGATTTTAACAATAGCCGAGACTGGGAGTGGGGGTCGGGGGATCTAGGCAGGAGTAACACCACATGCAAAGGAAGGAAGAATGAGAAAGCATGCCACTTTGGGTGTGGATAGGTTAGCTCTTACCCACAGATGAGCATGGTTGACTTAGCTGGTTTGGCTGGCTGGGCAGGTAACCCCTCTCCCTGACCCGCATTGTTCCACAGGCCATGAATGTCCTTCTTGAGGCTGCTACCTTCTTAACTCTCAAAAAAATCAATCATACTCTGTCAAGACTAGAGAGATACGTATACTTGCTGTATAGCATCTACAAGATCTCAGGTATGGCCGAAGCATAAAATGTGTGCTTGGAGGCAGCCAGAGTGGAAGAGGGAACAGACTGGGAAGAGGGAACAGACTGGTGGGAGATGATTTTTATAGGATCTGAATGTTCAGGTCATGGGGGCCTTGTAAAGCTCCTGGTCCAGGAGCTGGCCTTTTCCTGCATAGGCAGAGCGTGACAGTTGGGAAGTAACGTGGTTAGATTCACATAGAAGATAGAAAAGAGGAAGAAAGATGAGACAAGGAGACTAGGTTAGGAGATGACAGGGAGTCCCAATGTGAAAAGCAGAGGGCATAAACTGATGGACTAGCAGTGATGCTGGGAGGCTGGTGGGATTTGAGAGAGCTTCAGCAGGAAATTTTGTGCCCAGTTGAATATGCTGGAGCAGGAGACAGTCAAGCACAATTCCCAGGTTTCTGACCTGAACAATGGTAGGTGCCATTAGCCAAGATAAGGAATCCAGAAAGAGTGGCCATTTGGAGGGAGACCATCAAATCCTGTTTTGGATCTACTACTTTGCAGAGGCAGAGAGGACCAGAAGGCATTGAGATATATTGGTCTGAAGCTCAACTGAGATTCAATGCAGATGAAAAGGCAAAGGAGTAACTGAGCAAGGGGAAGAAATCGTCTTAAGGAAGCATTCTTAATTCAGTTCCACAAATATTTTACAAGTCCCTGGGTAAGCACTGCAGGACATGCAAAGAAAAAAATCACACATAATCTTTTACCTTTCGGAGCCTACTTTGTTTTTATTATAACCTTGGACTCAAGTTCAACATGTGTGAAAAGTGTTTCCAAGAATTATAGCTAAAGTAAGGTGCAAGATTTTTGTTTATAGGTGTATGTCTGTTTCCCTGGCTTTCTCTAAACTTTGACATACAAATGAGTACTTCTCTCTTTTTCTCTTTTTTTCTTAACTTTACTCATGAGCTTAAAACCAAATTCTAGGATGCTATAAACGTGACAATTGATTTACCTGTTCTTTATTTTCTATCCTGACTTATGCTTAAACATAATCTGGTTGGTTATAGCAGTCCAAAAAAATGGAAGGTGCATCTTTATGAAAATCTTCAGTCTTAGGGATTAAAAAGTGAAGAGAAAATAGAGGAAAGTTAATGTAGTTCACTTATTTTTGACAGTGAAAATAAATCCCTTTTGAAAGAAATTTTCCATATGTTGGCTATTTTTATTGAACACAAGTGACTACAGTCTCTCAATTGACTACTAAAGCTTATGAAGGAAGTAGTAAATATTCAAGAAACATTCTATGAATTTGCATGAAGAACTGTAGGACTGTAGTACTTTCCTTTGGAAATTAAACTTTGGAATAAAAGATAAAATTTAAAAATTTGACTTTTATGTGCATGCCAGAAGTGTGATAGGTATCTTATATCATAAAAAACTGAAAAAGAGTAATTACAAGCAAATAATAGTATCTTGTTTCACCAGATATTTGCATATTTTGCCAATACTTATGTAATCTCTTAGAAAATTCCTATCTAAAATATGAAATTTCTTATTGGAAAAAATTTCAGATACTAGTGCATTCACATAGAAAATGTGTCTTGGGTCTCTTCATTCAAACATTTTAGGTTCATTTCCTTTTTAGTCATATTTTAGCCAGTGGGACGCAGATAGTACATTTTGTTCTTCTTTCCCCAGAAACTGATATTTATTTTTTTATGGACTCAGAGAGGCTTTTCAAATTAACTTCAACTTTTACAGCTCTCTTTTCATATCCCATGTATGAATTTACTGTGAAAACTTATGACTGATAGAACTAACTTCAGCAGCCTCACTGCTGAGTTGTTTTGCTTTGGTGAGGATAGAACACTTTTGGCAATGTGGTCCAGACCCAAGTTTGAGCAATTAGGTGAGACTTCCTAAAAGGAGCCAGGACATGAATAAGTATGAAGAAGGCACTTGAACGCAAAACACACTTTTAAAAATTCATTGAAAATTTGAGAGCATTTTCAGTTAAGTACATATGAGTGCAGGTTGTCTCCTTTGAACAAATTAGTTCAGTTTTGTAAGGGTTTTATCTTTTAAAATATCAATTAAGTCATTGCTCAAGGTGGAACTGTAAGTAAAATTACAATCCTAAAACCTTACGGGCAATTGTTCTAGTTAATACAAGTAATATTTCAGCAAAATGTCATGGCTTGTAATTGAAAGAAATCATCTGGGTCTGAAGAATACCTACTGAGGGCAGCCCTATTAAGATTTATTCCGAGGTACGTAATTAATTTCATGAACTTGCAAAGCAGCACCAGGAAGGTTTTCCTTCCTCATAAGCCTGGAGGGTTTGGTGTTTGGCCCTGTTGAGACCCAAGTTGATTAACATATATATAATTAAAGTGTGCCCGCTAGAAGGGCAGAACCAGTTTTATTTGGTTCTGTAACACTGTGAAATAATTTCCTTTCTGCTAGCATTATTTACATTTTTTTCCTTTTTTTTGGGGGGGGGGTCTACATTTCCCTGGATATCATCCTGCTGCCTTCTTCAGGATTATTGCTTCCTATCCTATCCTAGCAGACGCTAAACAGTGAAGAAGCTTTCTCCAGCATTCAAACTAGATATTCTTCCCGTTCATATCACCATTTTTCATCACATTGTAAGAAACACTGTAAATAATTGAGGTGATCTCCTATCCTATCCTAGCAGACGCTAAACAGTGAAGAAGCTTTCTCCAGCATTCAAACTAGATTTTCTTCCCGTTCATATCACCATTTTTCATCACATTGTAAGAAACACTGTAAATAATTGAGGTGATCCATCAAGAGACCCATTCTTGATAATGAAAAATTGTATAATTCAGTAAAAGCCAATTAAAAACCACAAACTTCAGAACATTTTGCTCAGTGAAGATTTATTGTTATAGAAGCCATCTAATACAATAGACTTTCGGGGTCAAAACTTTAAAAAGTTCTAAAAATGCAGTGAAAGCTTGACAATAAGCTTGAGTAAGAGTTACACAATATCAAAGTATATTAATTCTTTGAAATGAAAAAAATTTTTTCTTCCTTTAACATGACATGTCTGAGATGTCAGGATTGTACAACAGCCTTGGAACACCATCCACAGTGTGGGAAATTAAATCCTACTTAATTCTCTCTCACTCTAAAAATTCCATCTAACTGGTGGTGTAAAGTACCCATCACATTAAATTCATAATATTCACATACCCTGACAGTCCTACCTAACCTAGAAATTATTACGTTCCTTAAGGAGAGAGTGTTAAAAAAATAAGTGTAAGGTTTTAAAGAAATGAGACCAGAAATCACAGTACAAGACAGATAAGTCTACTTTAATACTCACATGTAAAAGTTACACATCACAAGAGATTGGACAGTAGCTTAGCGGTAACTAACATAGCTATAGTGAAAATCATTTTTATAAAAAAATAATCTAGATGCAGTCATCAGAATTTTTGGTCTACTTAATGTTTGAAGATCGACTTTTATCCCTGCTTGAAGGATTTGCCATTATGCCTTTTTATTTACTTTTTTTCTCCCACTGTTGCCTATTAATATTCTTTGGAGGAAGGAAAGCAGAAAGTTCATTTCCAAGAGTTTGTCCTTTGGTAGCAAGCAGAGAACATTTTTCATTTCTATGATGTAAATAATCTGTACAGACATGAAACTTCGTGACATTAAGCTTTAGTGTAAAATGAAAAATTATAAGCAACTTTTTTCCACTTTGATAAAACAGATTTCATAAATTCCTTAAGGATCCAAGCATTTCCCTATTCCATATGCAAAATCACTTAGAATCCATTTTGACTTCAGTTAAGAAACAAAAAAACAAACACTCTTTATATATTACACTATAAAACCCTGTACTTAAAAACTGATAAGGTATATTTTCAACATGTATGCTTCAAATACAAAGAGTTCAATCTAGGTTAAAGAAAACGCATTTGAATGGACTCAGAACAAGTTTATTTTGTGACTAAACACCCTCATGCAATCATGCAAGACCACTAGCTATAACTGTGACTTCCGAGTCTATGATACTGGGCAAAACAAAAACAAATTAAAAGCCAGACCAAACAGAAAAGACATTCAAAGTATCAAGAGCTCTGCAAGTGAGCTGAAAAATCATTTTCCAAAAGAAATATTCCCATAGATTAAAAAAACACACACATATTTACAAAAAATATTTAATTAAAAATATCTTATAATTACAGTAGTCTATTAAAGCATATACTTTCTCACACTTATAGAACATCTCTATATATACATGGTATGAAATGTCACTCAGTTATCTATACAATATGTAACATCCTTGCAGGGAAAAGAAAGTTCCCTGCCCCGTTATAATCATCTATTTTAAACAATAGATGTAAAAAGAAAATATATCTACAATGCTCTGGTATATTAGTAAAGCTTCAAAACAAAAATTAAGCTCCTTGGTCACAAAGTGGGCTTCTAAAGTCGGATTTACTCTTGATCTTCTATTTAACAGTCCTGTCACACTAACCCTTAAAAGTTTAACTGCACCTCCGAAAAACACAGAAATGTACAATTCACAGCGGTTATAAAGGGAGACAAAAGAGAATACGTATGTAGAATGTTTATGAACGTGCAAAAAAAGGATGAAAGGTTTCTTTTTCTTTCCTCCCCCTCTCTCTTGGAATGACGAATGAAAACGTTTCTAGATTTGCTCTTGTTTTTTCCTTTCCTCCGGTGGCTTTTTCTCTAACTTCTGCTCTTCCCCCTCCCTGTCTAGTGCTCCTGGCTCGGGCTCTGGCGGCCGCACACCTGTGGAAGAGGAATGAATAGAGGGGGTGTGTGAACCTTCTCGCTGCAGACTAACTGGCGCCACCGACCAAACTCAAGACATGCTTGATCAACAACCCAAAACAAACCACCAGGTCAGGCAACACCCGAGCTGCGGCCGGGCCAGGCGCCCAGCAGGCAGCTGCGGGCCCCGGGAAGCCCGGATAGGGGACCCAGTCCGGGGACTCGCCCGCGTCCCCCTTTGTGTCAGACTACGCGGGGGGGACATCGGGACAGTTTCCACGCCCACGAGGGTGCCCTCCCTCAGGAAGGAGGGAGGACAGGAAGAGCCCACGGGTTACCAGGAGAGGCACAGAGGCGACGGGGACAAGAACTGATCCGTCCCCATTGAGAGTGAACCCCGAGTTCTAAAGCGAAGTACGGGTTCACTTCCTAACTGGGTGGCAGGGAGACAGAGGGTGTCTGCTTCCTTGGGAGTTGACGCTCAGAAATGCCGGCGGCAAAAAACACCGCGGAGCCTGGCACCGGAAGCTCCCGGGGATGGGCGTCTCTGGTGACCGGCCACCCGAGACGGGAAATGCGCGCTCACCTGGACAGCGCGGCTCAGCGGCACAGAATGCTGTCGCCCTGCTTGTTCACCGCGCCGGCCTGGAACAGCAACCGAACAGCAAAGGAAAGGTTAGTAGCGCAAACAACGCACTCGTCGCGGTCCAAGATTCGCCCTCGGAAGCCAGGCTGGCGCACCGACGCCCCCACCCTACTGTGCAGCCCGGCGTGGGGGGCCCCCGGGCTCGGCGGGACTTGACAGCACAAGATGCGCACAGCTCCGAGAGCCACCCCGCGCGGTCTCCACGACCAGCGCTCGCCGAGCCCAGCCGGCTGCTGGCGGCTCCGGGCGACCAGAGGAGAAGGGCGGGGGTGGGTTGTCATTCTCGGCTGTCCCCTGTCCCGAGGAGGACGGGGAGCGCCCGCGTCCCGCCACCCCCCT